ACTATCACCAGCGCCAACATAGAACATGAAGACAACAGTAAAGACTGCTGAGCGTGAACAGCCCTGGTTAAACTCAAACGCTCTGCCCTTGGTAGGAAAGTTGAAGTCACTCAGGAACTGATTACAATTCAGCAGCAACAAACCCCAATCCCTAAAGAGTCATGGCAAAGGGGATTCACTGTCAAGGTCCGGCAGTGACAACAAGACTAATTACACCATAATGGGAATCATCCTTCTCTTTCAGACCGACACCGGAGCTGTGAATCAGTGAGAACTGGCCCGATGATTACAGCTTGGCCTCTTAAATCCTGCTGTACATACAGATTAACACCGGGCTAGTTGTTAGCACGCCGACTTAACATGCAGCCCCATCACAAACAAGCCTTTGGACAATTTAGTGGGGTCTGACTTTGTTTTCTTCAGGCTGTGTGAAATGGGCAGCTACGAATGGTGATCCATATTCAGTGGACTCGGAGTGAGAACAGGTAAAAAAAAAAAAACCTAAGGGTTTAAATTACTTTTTTTTTAATTCTGTTTTGGCTTATTAAAATATATGATAGGGTAAATGCAAACTAAAATAATGACTTTTTTTCCTGTTAATGTTTATTTTATATAAATACAGGGCACAGCTGCTCAAATTAGAAAGTCAAATAAAGTCTATTATAAACTTCATATTATATCATATAGTCTTTGGGAAAACAAGTTATTCATACAGAAAATAAACTTATATCTTCACAGATACAGTATGCAGATGTTGCATTTACTCTACTACTTTGTGATGTTTTTTGGGCGGAGTCTAACAAACTCTTCTGATGTTTTTATGTCCTACATTTTCAATGTTACCACTGGTTTAGGTACTTGTACGTTATGCGAGTTCCGACTTATGACGAAAATCAAGTCCAGTCCCTCCGTAGGAGCGGATATCCGACAAATTAAACTCTTGAAATTGTAACCAAAATAACTAACTAAACAAATAATGATTTTTATGAATAGCCACCACCAGTAAACTTCCAACAAACTTGGACGCATCTGTGGTTCAGTCCCGTTCAATCACAGCAGGACGTGAAGTCGTGCGTTGATGTGAGGAGTTATTTTGGGAGGGCAGGCTGAAGTCTGAACCTATAACGGCACAGAAGCGCAGATATGTCCCTTTGTTTGTTTAAAGGGCAGCACAATCGATGGCCCTGGTTTTTGAGGCATGGTTCTGACCTCTGCTGCTGACACCTGTATCAATCACAGACCAGCTTCCTTCTCTGCTTCACTGCTCGTCACATTTGTCTCGCCTTCCCTCTCTCTCTCTGAGCCTCAGAATCAAGGGTGGAGGTTGCGTGGTGTCAGTCTGAGACACACGCCGGCCATCAGGGGATGTCAACAACGCGCGACTCATAAACGGCATTAGGTACAATGAAATAAGAAACAAACTAGAGAGGGTTGCAGAAAGATCTGAAGTCTTCTCTGGTATCTATAAAGTCAAATCTCATGTGGTCAAATGTATTTATATGCTGATTGGTGATTTTCTGCTTTAGTGTGACATGCATTGTTTAATTGATTCAGGCAATTAGAATATTTTGTTTCCAAGAGAAAACTCTTGTTATTATTTATATATTTTTATATATATANGCAGGTCAAACAGAGGTTGTTTCAGATTCCAGTCCTTTAAACCGGATTATTCTTCAAAAGATCTGTTGGTTCAATATATATATATTTTAAACAAAAGTGAACAGTAAGCCACTGATGGAAATAAATACTTTAAAATCACAAATACCTCAGTGAAATATGCTACAGAGAAATCATGGGTCATCCTGGGGAATTTTTTTATAAATTTTCAGACAATCTTTTGGCTAATCTTTAGTAACCTAAAATATATTTATTTAGACTTCTTCAATTATTTGTCACATTTCAGCCACAGGTTAGAATTGTACATATATTGAATTATGTATTGGTCCATTTGTTCAACCTCTTGATTAACTTCAGTGAATTGAATTTTTCCATTGAATTTTGACTACATTGTACACATTTATAACTAACCTTGAGATTTGTCTACTTCATAAAAATTCTGGCGTTGCCTTATTTTAAAAAATGCTGTAATTCCTGATCCTGTTAGTACTACTATGGTCTTACTGTAGTACTAATGTCACCACAGGTGTGAAACATACCTGGGGCCGACTCTTTTAGAAAACGCTCTGTTTTAGCTCTCAGTGCCTCTCCTCTGTCTCCATTTGCCTCACGCCTCTTTCCTGACAAAGAGTTGTTGGGCCATTGCTGAAAACCATTCACCTCCAGCTAAGGCAGCTGTTTAGAGGGTTTCATTAATAAGAAAGGAAGCACAGAGAAACCAGCATGAGGAGCTGGAAGACAAGGTAGAAGAGGGCGGTCGCCTTCCTCCTACACATGCAACTGCAACATTACTGTCTGATCTGAGATGACAGAAACAACACAGAGGAGTGGCAGCAACAGGAATCTCAAAGAAGCCTCGGTCTCTGCAACGATTCCTTAGATCACGGTTTTGTTCACGGGCCACATACAACCTAGTTAGGTTATAGCCTGGACCAGTACAATCATAACATAATTAACTATATAAAAAAGTAACAATAAGTCCATGTTTTATCCCTTTGTTTTCATCCAAATAAGTACAACTATATTAGATGTTTATTATTATTAATTAATATTAAATTAAATATAATTTTATTAAATTGTTGTTTGTATATTTTTATTTTCAAAATTCATTACGTGGGCCGGATTGAGAACCCTAGCGTGCCGGATTAGGCCCTCGGGCCGCACCTTTGACACCCTGCCTTAGACTTTGGTAACAAAAGGTTTTACTGTGTACATATGTGAAAGGAAAGTATGTGGCAACGGAACTAGGACGTCTGCAGTTGTTTACGTACTATCGAGTTATTTTTTCCCCCCAATGGGTTACAATAGGTTATTTTCCCAGAATACTGTGATTTTCTTTTTCAGCTGAACAATGTCAGGCCTAGCTCTGCAAAAAAAAAAAAAGAAAAAAATACCCTCAGACATCATAACAAAACCTCAAGTGCATTACCAAATTGTACTTTATTTTTATTGCACTTGAAAACATCAGAGCTTTTTGGGACCTAAGGTCTTCTTCACAGAACCAACTATTTTCAGACCTACATCCTGTTTTCAGCCTCCAGAGCAGTTGCTATTTTTCTGTACAAATGCTCCGAGTTCGAGGTGAGGTCACGTGCAGCGTTTGCGGACAATGTGACAGCCTTTGGGCCGGAAAAGTGCTGGTGAGGCAATTATCTGTACATCAGAGGGCGAGGACGGGGCCGCTCTGAAACCAGTCGGCGGGTCACAGTAGAGGTCAGGATTTAAGAGTGAATGTCTGAAGTTCTCCACTTCACTACAGACCCTGAGCTTTACAACTCACATTCGGTTCTGTTTAGGTTCTCATGTTTCCCCGTGGTTCCCCTGGCATGCACGATGCTGCCAGATATCCATCATTATGACGACCACGATCATCACTCTTCTTCCTGTCCGTTGACTGTTCCTGACAGTCGTATCAGAAATATGCCTTTGTTGTAGCCACATTGTGGCCATATGTATCTGTATTTGATTAAATGTGGATTTTATTACCCAAACCATGGTCGTGTTGTAAAATCCACTTCAAAATATGATCCCTTTGTTTTGCACTTTGCCTGATTTCACGCTGTTTTTAGTGTTGCTACAAGAATGTCATCTCGTGTTTTGCCGTTGAGCTAAAATCATTTTTAAAAGTGCTAAAGGAAATACAAGGTCAAATCCTTCTTTTCCACAAAATACAGTAAAACATTTAGCTTTGAAAACAAGTGACTGTTCATCCATTTAAAATAAACTTGTGGCAGACATGTCTGTTCCAGTCATTACACCAGAACAGGCCAAAGTGTGGGAACACTGGTACTGAGGCACTGTGCGACTGCTAATGGGTGAGGCTGTACACAAACTACAAACACTGTGTGATGGTATTTAAAAACATAGTAATAAAAAAAACCCCACTGACCTCAAACTATGCTTCGGTTTTATTTAGAGGTTTAAAGAATAATAGGAGACCTAATTGTTGTAGTTGTAGGACCAACGCCTGCCACCAGAGGTCACCATGCTCAATACCTTCATAGATATGTTCAATACCATTTAAAACTGCCAAATCATAACGCAGACCAGGCAAGAGGAAAGTTCTGAGAGGTTTGATGAATAATAAAAACTTGGAGATCTACAGTACCAAAATAACTAAGGTAAGCAAACAAGATTAACTCCTGAGAAATTGCTAGGTTTTTGTGCCAGACACTATAAGAAAAAGATCCTTGGAATGAATCAAAAATGCTTTTAAATCACATTTCACAGACCTTTCTTCAGCAGACACAGAGCAAAGGATGTATTTGTTTTGTTATTATTTGAAACTAGAGGTACAGTAATGTCTCAGCAGGGGTGTTACCACGGCGCTGTAAGATGCTGCTGAGTACAGTGAAGGGAAAGGTCATCAGTGAGGGTCCTATAGATGTTGGTGACATTCACACACCGAGACATGTTTCTAATCAACCCAGCGTTTGTTAAAGCGATGGCTGAGGAACCACAGGCCTCGGCAGTTGGCAAACGTTGTTGTGAGTTTAATACCTGAGGCTCGTATTCTCAAAGTGGGTTTTAATTGTTCTTGTGTCACTGACTGGTTGTCAAGGTGACCCAGGAGGGCGCCATAAAATCAAATGCAGGGTGTCCTTGGTTTACGGCGCCATGGACCTAAGGCGTTTGGTGGTTACGTAGCCATTTCCTATAAATTTATTAAGAAAGTCGAGCGCATCATACGCATACGACGTCGCACGGCACTATACGCAAAAGACGATTTTGTTCATATTCGCTGGATATACGGCCTTCATTGGATTGTGCTACATTTGCATTCTTTTATTTGTGATGAGGTTTTTTTGCCCTTGGTATACTCTGGTATATGATGTTATGATGTTAGCACTGTGTTAGTGTAGATGAGTGACAGAGGTACTCACGTACAGTATGTAAGTTCCATCTTAGGGTGAAAATCCAGTTACGTCACCATAAGGAACAGAATTCCAGTGTCAGTTCAGGACCTCCTGTAATGCACAAAGGATTCGGCAGGTAAGAGTCACATGATGTCTGTGAATGCAACGTTCTTTTAATGTAAAAACCAAAGATATGTTTCTTTGCCCTTTTTTCTGGTGGCAGTTTTTTTTTAAATAAAACCTGTTTGCACTGACATACAGTATATCACAGCTTTATTCAAACTGACCCAGAGCAAAATAAAACCTGTTTGCACTGACATATAACACAGCTTTATTCAAACTGACCCAGAGCCGAGAGCTCATGGATCGTTGCCCTAAAATATTTGCGTATCAAACAAGTTGAACTTTACATATTTTTTCATATCTGAACTCACTCCAGTGTACCGTATTTTCCGGACTATAAGCCGCTACTTTTTTCCCACGCTTTGAACCACGCAGCTTATACAAAGATGTGGCTTTTCTATGGATTTTTCTTCAGCCACCAGGGGGCGTTCTAGCAGATGTGCAAAAACGAGACAGATGGGAAATCAGTGCAAAGAAGAACGCGCTAGTTCTTGGGTACCTGGATATACAGTAGCTTATAGTCCGATGCGACTTATATATGTAAATTTATAGTTTTTTTCTTTTAACTTTTACCGTGAACACAATTTACGGTATTTTTCAATGTTACACGTCTGTCTGTCTTGCTAAAATTCCAAATGTTTTCTTTCACAGTCATTTTGCAGGTCATTTACTATAATGTGTAGTACAAAGAGATACTCGCTCCCACTGCGGCGTTGTTCCACAGACTGATCAAATATTGTCGTTAAAACACACCTGTATTCACTCGCACCTGCGCGACTGCCCTCCAGCTGCTTCATGGCTGTAACAAACTCCGACTGTTGAAACTGCAAATTGCAAAAAAAATAAAACCTGGAAATTGAGTTTGTTTGTTTGTTTCTTTCACTCCTTTCCTACTGAGCAAAAAGCAATTATTATCCCCTGCACACGTATCTCAGCGAATACCCACGATTCACCGGGGGATGAGCTTGGCAGCAATGTTGTGACAGTCATTTCCACAATAGACTGTCTCTTTTCAAATAAGTCCAGTCGCAAATTTGCTCGTCCATCTTCGCAAAAAGCCCATTCAGGCTGAAAATGAAGAGAAAAAACAGCCTTAAATCCTGCAGCTGGAGCAGGGATTTACTGCTAAAGCAGAGAGTTTTGTTTATGTCTTTGTTGTTTGCCTATTTTACATTTCCTGCTCATTCTCTTGGACAGCCTTATTGCCAGATAAAGGAACTGCAGTGGTTGGGGATGAGGTGGGGGTGGCGTGTACTTCCTGTGTGTGTTGCTCTCTAAGGTTAATTATTACAGCAAAGGCAGTCATTTGCTCTTTGTATTGGAACTTATCTCCTCTCACAGCTGCTGTGTTTTACTGAGTGGACGACCATTAATCAAAGCTTTCTCTGGTAGGAAGTTGGACCATCCATCAACCTCCAGACCGCCGCCTTCTACATCCTCCCCTCCCTCGCTCGCTCACTCCACTTCTCTCTTTCGCTCTCTTCACTGTAAAAAAAATGTCTGCAGAAGTACTGTTAAAATTATAATGATGATTCCTTTGCAAACGTTTTGAATGGAGTTTGAATATGTTTCTATTATTCTGTCAGTCGCAAGCAGATTGAAATGTGAATAATTTCACTATTAAGAAATAGAAATGTGAGTCTTTAAAGATTATTTTGAGTTTTAAGAGTCAGAAATCTGACTAAAAAGTCAAAATCTTAACGTTCTGACTGCAAATAAAATTCAGAAATCTGGGGGAAAGTTAGAAATATGACTTGAATTAAATGAACTAAAATATAAAAATACATTTTCTATAGTTCAGAAACTGCAACATCATCCTCAGAATGCTCAGTTTGACATCTTATTGGTTTAAATGTTTGCATAAAATGACTCAAAGCATATCAACATCTCTGTTGTACTTTACTTCTACTGCAGTAAACTGTATATTTTGCAGCTTAATCCTATTCTTGTAACATCTTACTGATTTTTTTTTACAGTATTTCCACTCAACTACGACTCCAGCAGTAGCTGAATCAGTAATTATTCACTCATGTTTGTGTGATCAAGTGCAACCTTGAACACGACTTCAGCATTTTGTCACTGTGACAGAATCACGTTCACTTCAGCTCGATGGTGTTCTAAAGTGATTGCGATTGATGGGGAAAGGCACTGTTTCTGTCACATGACTTCATTGAAGCACAGTCACATGATGGCTATTATTTTACCTGTCCATCACAGGACGACAAAGACAAAAAAAAGCCAACAATATACACTGCTTTTTAAACTAAAGTCAATTTGGAGTGAGGTTTTAGGGAACTGAGAGGAAAAATAAGTGCAGAAAAAAAACAAAAAACACAAGGGAAGAACATGCAGAGTTGACAACTTATTGTGAGAGAACACTAACCAACTCTTGGCTGCCTTCATCAGTCAATAGTTATAATCTTACTTTCAGTAGTTTAGGTACATTTCAAAATGACAACTTGACAGGCTGAGTACAGACAACATTATACACCTTTCGGTAAATGTTATGTTCTACTTCTTCGTACTTCATTTTGGGAGATTATCTGTACATCTCTGGTACTTTATAAAACTCTCAAAAGTAGCTAAAAAAAACAAACGTCCTTTTAAGTCAATCCAGAACATCTTAAAAACCAAATGTCCAGCAGCTGGCATTACACTGACAGGGTTATAGCAAATTGTCATAATTGTTGGAAATTTCACAAAAACTCCTAGCCATTGATCTAATACTTCCAAGAAATATATATCACAGAATAGAAAAACCTGTAAAATCGTTCCCTAGAGGCAGACTTTTCTCATCTTTTCCTTTGATTCCAAAGCAGCTCATCTGTTTCCACTGGCAGTTTATTATCTTAGAATCCATCATCTGCAGCACAGGTTCAACTTAACTGCATTCACACGAAGCTCATGAGGTCGTTGCACGTGAAGCTTCTTCATGTACCGTGAAAACCTGAATCTGACCTGGGCTGATTTCTGCAGCTGGTAATGTTGTGTTATTACATGCTACACACACACACACACAACAGCAAACATACACAGGAGACTGATGCACATGACCTTCTGCTGTCAGAGCCGACGGCATCGTTTATCAACACAACCTTGAATCACTGTTTCACTCTGCTGGAGACTTTATATTTCTGCTTAGGCTAAAGCGGAAAAAAAAAGATAAGGAAAAAACTTTAGAGAGGAAATTACTGTCTTTGAATTTTTTTTTTTTTTTTCTTTCATAAAATCCGGTTATTTTACAGCTAATACAGCTTTTTTTTCTGGACATTAAATGGAGATTTTTTTTTTTTGTATTTAAATCTATATATCTATATGTTACACCTGCATGTTCCAGGGATAAAATTCATCACATATGGATTATACCATATTTTTCTTATTTCTTTTAGCAACTTTTGTCACACTTCCCTTTTTAAAGGATGAAGACTACTGTATATTGCATAATGGACTCTTGTATTGAACTTTCAAGTGAAATAAATACAGGAGTTGTCTGTGAAAGGCAACCTTTTACCTGTTTCTGTAACTGTGCTATTGTCTTGCGTAACCTTTACAGTTGTTATGAAGTCAATAATGAGTAAATAACAGTTTCCTGACAAACATAACAATATGTAATAGAAGGAGCTGCAACATCAAGTTTAAAAAATGCAGCAGGGATGAAAAAAAAAGTTGTCTTTGTGAGTGGAATATGATATGCAATAAAATCCAAACTTTTATTTAAATTTTGTTATTTGAGCATGTCAAAAGTACACTGCATGTCCCACTTCCATATATTTACTTAGTTTTTCAAAGAAAATCTTGAAATCCAGCATTGAATCCAGCATGAAAAATTCTTTACACTTAGAAATCCAGCATGAAAAATTCTTTACACTTTACTGTGTTCGTATAGTTTTAATGCACATACTGTATGTTAAACTCAAGGCCCGTGGGTCAGATACAACCCACCACCTTATTTTATGCATTTTCATACTTTTGGGCAAACTACTCTGTTTTATTATATAAATATTCATGACAAATTTATCGAGAAAAAAGTCACTGATTCTGATTCTGTGCAGGCCAGCAGAGAAGGCTCCTGAACTTCTCCTTGTTACCTTTAACTTTCATTTCAAGTTTACATCTCTTCCAACCTCCCCGTCTGGTAATTGTGTTGAACAACAGTCTAAAATCTTCCAGCTTACCTTGAACATCAGGTCAGAGAAGCATCAATAACTCGTGTGGATGGTCCCTTATCTCTGTCCGATTAAGGCCTTATCTGCGCTGCTTAAATGGTGTTTGGTGAAAATTCCCGGAGACCAAATCCTCCTGGAGATGTTAGACAAAAGAAAAATGATCTTCTTTATCAGAATATCACCAGTGTCGATGCAAATAACTGTCTCTTATCTACTCACTGCATATCACAGTAGAGGTTCAAAGAGGGGGAAAGAAAACGCCATCAGCGGTGGAAGTGTTTGTTTATACACAGAGAGCAGCTGCAGCTACAGGCAGTCGCTGATAGGAATCTGTGCATTTGCTATTACTGAATCAAAGCAGTGCAGGTGGATGGGGCAGAGAGGCAGGAGGATAGAGCTGTGATACATGGAGTACATGACTTTAGTGTAGGTCAAACAAATAGAAGGAAAACCCTGCAGCGCTTTGAAATGAACACTGAAACAGTGTCCCTGTGTGCAGGTTTGTTTCAACACAGAAAAAAAACCCATATCTGGTAGATTAACATTAACAAACAATGGTCGTTTAGTTAAAGAAATAATAACAACTCATATTGTGTATTAATAAACAGCTTAGTCTTCCAGTTCTTCGTCCTAAGAAGTGCAGGAGTTAGGCTTGTCGGTGCTTTTCGCACCTGGTTCAAATCATTACACTAATTAAACTTAAACGTCTCGTGATTTAAAGGAACATAAAACAGCTCTAGTGAAAGGTGCATTTAAAATGAACGAAAATATTGTAGCAAGGCGGTAACACAAGACAGAGGCAGCTTCATTTTATTAGAAAACGGTTTGTTTTTACCTTTAGCAGCACTGTTGTTCGCCACAGCGCACGCCAATCTGCGTGCACAACTTTACCAGAGCACTGTTGTTCGCCAATCTGCGTGCACAACTTTACCAGGTCTCACACACACACTCAAAGCCGACCGGATCAGAACACACTGCGCATGTGCGTTTACAACAAGTTGCATTGAAAGCACAGCTTTATAAAACATCATTGCTATTTATTGCCCACCCGCCACAATATCGTAGAAATGCAGTGTTATATTAAATTATTTTTATAATATTTTTCCAGTTAAATACATTAATGTTATGCTGTTGTGGTTGGTCTTCTCATTATTGTCGTTGATTGACATTGAATTTAGCACTAAAGAGTCCCTTTTAGTCTGCTTCAAATTTATTTAAGCATTTTGGCTCCCTCTTGTGGCTAAAGTACAAAGTGCAGCTACATGTTTGCTCTAATCGTCCTAAAATATGTATATAGATTAACGCGTGTGCGCGCGCGCGCGTGAATAAATACGTAGAATATTTAGTACAAAAAAAACGGACATAAGTCTAAAAGACAGAAGTGTATTATTTATTTATTTATTTATCTCTTTTTCTTTGCATTTAATAGGCTCCAGCCAAACCCTCGTCTATTACAGTGCGTGTGTTGTTAAATCCACAGCATTTAATGGACCAGGCAGTAAAGAGTGTGAAGAGCTGCTGCTGTGATTGTGCTAGAGATGAGAACAGCAGGGAGGCTGCAGAACTGCTGCTATACAAACCCATTTACAGAGTGAGCCATCAAGGAAATACCAGCTTGCACAATTTTCTTCAATTCCCTCTCCTTAAAGCAATAAAAGCAAACGTACATTTACACAAACCTTTTTGTCCAGTTAATGTTATTAGGTAATTTTCCACACGTGAAATCCAAATAACACTTGAAAGCAGATTGAAAGCTGTTAAGGTTTCAGCTCAGAGTGAATGCCAACCTGCCATTTCCATGAATAAGGTTCTCTTGTGAGAGCTGCAGAAACAGTTGACACTGTGTGGTACAATAAATCTGCTTAAGTGTGCAATATATGAAAATGTGTTTGTTGGAACGCTTTTCACAAGGAATATAAGAGTAAATGGAGTTTCTCTGTGGCTCAAGTGTTCAGCATGCTTGAGGTCTTGACACTCACTTGACAAATTCAGCCTAATCACACTATGAATTTTTGACAACAGAAATCACGCACTCTGAACTCTTTTACAGAAAACTGTTTTAAAGACCCACCACTGTAAGCACTGCACTTAAGAAAGAAAACATTCATTACTCCAGAAAAGTGGAGTCATTTGTAAGAAAGGTGAAAAACCGAGCTGTCAGTGATCAGAGTGATGTCTGACAGCGTTCACGACTCCATTCGTTATGGCTCTCTCTGAAGTGATCCATCAGCACATCAGGTTCATCTGGACCTCTGCTGAATCCAGACTTAACCCAGCTGCCACTTCTCTCCTCTGGCTGATGACTGACTCCTTAACGTCAGCGCCGTCTACTCAGACTTCATTTACATGCTTTCACTGCCAAGAATTATAAAAAGGTTTTCACTCTGAGGCAAGGCAGATACTTTCTGTCACCTGATATCACTCCAGAGACATTTCCCTGCTTTATTTAATGGTCTACTTAAGAAATAGAGAGAAAGAACAACAGAAGGATCTATTTTGAGTTACGAGAGACTCGATCTAATGTGCATTTCAAATTCAGGAAACAGGGCCAAGTGAAGCTGGGTTTTAGAGCTGCCTCTTTTGAAACCATGAAATGTGTTTTTTTTATGACTTCAGAGTTTAAAATCCATTGTTTACCTCAGTAACAGGAGAGGCAGCAGTTATTGGTGTAATTTGTTATTACATGTGTCTCTGCTGGCTGCCGTGTTTACAGTGAGTCTTAGATTCATTTCCAGTCCAACAACTTCATACATTCATATATTTTTTTTTTAAAGCTGAACTCTCCCTTTAACACCGCAGTATCTCCATCTGTTATCACTCTGCTGGCTCAGACATGTCTGTGTGTGGTATTCAGTGGGTGGTATGAGCCGTTCACTTCGTAACTTCATGGATCAAATGCACTGACTCGAGTCCAGTGTGCTGCGTTAGACTATAGTCTCTTAACATCGCTGCAGCTAACTGCAGCAGATGTTCAGGTTACTGCTGCTGCTGCTGCTGCGGCTGCTGCTGCTGCTGCTGAGCAACATCTGCTCTCACTGTTTCAGGGTTACTTAAAATGAGACCTGCTCTTTATGGTAAATTAACTGCACTATTTTTGTTCCTCCTCCCTCTCCTTCAGGAATCAGAAACATTCGTACGGTGGACCTTTAAAACACCGGTGGCCTGAATGTCTCCTTTCCAATAAACAGTTTATTCCTCAGGGAAGTTTTTTTTTTCTTTTTTTGCTTCGCATTTCAACGCCCGCTGAACTGTATTTTGTGAAAGTATGATCTATATTAGGTTGAGTCATAACCTGTGTTAACAGTTTCAGTGTGAATCTTAAAAATTCTAAACACAGAATTATGACTGAAAGCTACCATATTATAATTATTTTAATCAGAATTGCTTTGCTAAAGTAAGTAAAACAACTTTTTTAGATTTTGTTATTTTCAAAGGGTAAGCCATCTTACTATATATTTTTGTTTCCATTTTAGGTAAATGTCAAAGGTTCAAATAAAATCAATTTGTGGCATATGTTCCTTTTTATCTTGGTTAAAAAACATCTGGGCTGTTCCAGATTGTAAGGCTGTACTACTATTTTAATGTCCTCAAAATATCAGTACAAGTGCATTGCAACATGTAGCTCTTTCTTACTAAACTGGTAAAGTCTACACCAGCTTCCCTTGGGAACTGTCCATCAGCACCTGTGTGTCACGAAAGCTATTCAATAATAATTTAGAGTGGATTAGATAAAAAGAGTGGAACCATAGATTGTTCTACAGGTGTTACTCAACGTCCTTAGACATCCAGAATATTTAGGACAACTTAGCTTACTGTTACTTGAACGACAATTCTGTTGAAAACTATAGGATTTTACCTTTATAGTCAATATTATTTAGTATAATTGTAGTAAAAGAAATATCTGATTTTAAAGCCTAATAAACATGGCACACCTAGGAAAACTAAACCATATGGAGCACAAATATTATCAACATGGTGAAAATCCGTTTTAACATTGGCTCTTGTATCCACTCTGAGGATCAGAAGTTAATATTTTCCTGTTCTGTACAGGGGGAGCTCTCTCTTCTTTCCATCCTGAAGGCCCCAGTCGCACAGCTGCACTGAAATTGAAAGTACAAATACGGGTTAAGATTGTGTTACACCTGAGACCCAACTCTGACCCAGACGGTCTACATCATCCAGCCGACAGAGCAGCCACTTTACAGGATTCATTACCCTGTTCCTCGCTGCGAGCCTCGGAAAACAAAACAGAAAAACACACATCAAAACTTCTGCCGAGCACCTTCAGGACTTTGAGGTAAAACTTTTCCACTGACACTGCTCCGGGTTTGTGTAGCCGTGGAAGATCCCGAACCGCATTCTTCGCGGCCGCCCTTTTATCTGAATGAGCCTTGCTGTAACGTAGGGCCAGTAAATCACGGCGGGGTCTTTGTCTGTGTCGACAGAGTGGTCCACTCAGCCCACAGCTGCCATACCTCTGCCCACTTAAAGACCTTATTTATGCTCTACGCCCCACTGCACACTTTTCCCAACACGGCCCATTAATCCGAAGAAGAACGGGAAGGAGTCGTGTCATAGGGGTGCATTCTATCTTCCAACACTTTATCATTGCTGCAATATGGAAAGTTCATATTCCTTTCAAACATCAGCCTTTTCAGTTTTAACTCTGCCTCCTTTTTCCAGCATCAAATTCAACGACATGCTTTCAGCGCTGCTGAATACAGAAAACAAACATAATTCCTGATGAAATAGATAATATAATAAATGATCACTAGATCACTGATGTGTTTCCATCACAACAAATAACAGAGAAGTTTGAGAGGCAGGATTATAACATCCATCCAGCCATAAATCCAGGCATAAGACCTTCCATCAATCCAGTCATCCATTCATCTATCCAGCTATCTATCCATGTCTATCCATCCATCCATCCATCCATCCATCCATCCATCCATCCATCCATCCATCCGTCTTTTTTATTTATAAATCACAAAACTTTAGCATTTGGCTAAAACGTTTTTTGCTAACTTTAGGCTCATTTCAATACTTTTCTTTAACGTTTAGCTGTCCCTAGGATATTCCTCATTTCACTAACCCGCATGTATTAGTAACGTAATTTCCAATGACAATCATGCTCTGACATGTAAACAAATAATTTTAAAAAAAAGAACACATCAGCCAGTGTTCACCCTGTTTTCGCGCTTCACTTTCCAGAGTCACCAAATGTTTTATTTTATATTTCCACTGTGTTTTACGGCTTTTCTTGCCTCTGACTTTATGGATCTGTAGGAAAATACACTACGTGTCTCATAATCATCAGTCAGGCGGTGGAGAGAAGCCATTTCGCCTGTGTGGTCCTTCAACAAAATCCACCAAATAAGCTTCCACCGACGCCTGCTGGAACACAGTCATCTCTCTGGCCGTCACACTTGAGCGACAATGTGGCACATCGCATGTCTGCTGAAAGTAAAGACGTGGAGATGGAAGGAGGAGGTGGAGGCATCCTGTGGGTTTGAAGAGGAGTGAGGAAGAAGGAGGAGGAGGAGGAGGAGGAGGAGGAGGAAGCCACTGGCATGGTCATTCTGACTGATCTAAACT